AGAGAGAGAGAGAGAGAGTTCTTCTTCTTCCTCTTCTAAGTCCATCTCTTCTACCCCTCTCACCACCTGCCTCCTCCGTATCAGCGGACTACTACAGAGAGAGAGAGAGTTGTGACTTGAGACTTCACGACATTGGATCCAGACTTGACATTGGGATTCAGACATTTTGACGAGGGACTATTTGGGCCTGTGCCGAAGACTTGGTGTTGACGACATTCCCATCTTCCCCTTCTTCGTCTAACCCCCCGCTTCTTCATCTGTGTATGGTTGGGGCTGGGGCATTCTTCCTGTGTGAGCGCCAGACCTCTTCACACCATGGAATGATGATGATGATGAATGTTCGGGGCTGCATTGCAATATTGATTGTTCGGATCATTGGTATCTAAGTCTTCCGCTACGCTATCTTGTACTTTGTATTGAGAGGTCGGTTCTTGTTCTGGTCTGCACCGTTATGCTACACTGACTGAGCCCGAGCTCAATTGCTGAATTACTCCTGAGATCAATTGACAATTGCAGAATTACGCCCGAGGTCAATTGCAGTAACGAATGATGACAAACAAATAATTTTCAAAATAACAAGTGAAATCTTGAAAAAAAAGACGACAGATCTGCAGCATGTACAGCTATGGTACACTCACTAGTTGCTGCGAAACTGTGTTCTTGAACCTGTGTTGACCTGTTTTGTGTGAATGGAACTGCACTCTCTGTCTGACGTTCGTACTGTGTTTGGTGGCTGTCTTGTCTGCTCTGCAATGGTATCCGACCAGATTTGGGAGTGATGAGTGGTGCCGTCCTGTTCATAAAGGATGAATTGAAGCTCAACAGGGCAAGGGAAGAGATTCTTGTAGGGTCATTAAACATGGTGGCTGTTGTTGGCGCACTCGTCTCTGGAATTTTATCAGATGCGATAGGGCGGCGGCGAACCATGGTTGCAGCATCAATTTCGTTTCTTTCTGGTGCAGTAATGATGAGCGCTGCGCAGTCATTCGCTATGCTTCTTGTTGGGCGCACCATCACTGGTATAGGGGCCGGTGTTGGCCTCCTCATAGCACCATTGTATACGGCTGAATTATCACCTCCAAGGCTACGCGGTTCGTTAGTTTCGGTGAACGAAGTCTCAATCAACGTTGGCATCTTGCTCGGATATGTATCAAGCTACGTGTTCTCCTCAATGGCAATAGACACAGGCTGGAGATGGATGCTGGGAATAGCTGCGGCGCCTGCCTTTGCACTTGGGTGCGGGGCACTTGTTTTGCCAGAGTCGCCAAGATGGCTTGTAATGCGGCGCCGGATCAATGAGGCCGAGGAGATCTTAGCAAAGATATCCAGAGATGGCAAGGATGCAGAGGCCAGATTGAAGGACATACAGGAAAACCTAGGATTAGGATCATTGGGTCAGGTGACGACAGCAGGAAGATCATCGAGGATCGCCAGCGCATGGCAGGAGATCTTAAGGCCAAGTGGGCCAGTTCGCAAGATGCTTTTGCTTGTCTTGGGAACAAACTTCTTCCAAATGGCATGCGGTATTGATGCTGTTGTTTACTATACTCCCACAGTGTTTGCTCAAGCGGGGGTAGATCCTAACAAGAATGGTCTGCTTGCAGCTACAGTCCTTGTTGGTGGACTGAAGACCATTTTTATTGGCCTTGCGGTTCTATACCTTGACAGGTGTGGCCGTCGGCCGATGATGCTGGTGAGTGCAATAGGAGTTACCTGCTGTCTGATCATTGAAGGAGTAGCCTTTCTTACCCTCGACAAAATCGCTGCCCCGAGAGACAACACGCTGCCCCTGCCCCCCACTGAGTATCATAGTGGGCTGCGATTTGCGGCTGCGGTTGCGGTAGCAGGTATCTGTGCTTTTGTGTCATTTTTCAGTATTGGCCTTGGGCCAATCACCTGGGTTCTTACTTCGGAGGTTTTTCCGCTTCGCTTGAGGGCGCAAGCAATGGTGCTTGGCGTTATCGTCAACCGCATCGTGAGTGGAGTGGTGGCGATGACTTTCTTAAGCTTGAACAATGCCATAACGCCGGCGGGAACATTCTTTGGATATGCTATTTTGAGTTTCCTTGGCACCCTTTTCTTCTTTTTTTTGCTTCCGGAGACCAAAGGCGTATCCCTAGAGCTTATAGGGACACTGTTTGGCGATGTCTATCCCTTTGGCCAGAACAGTCTTGGTGGGTTGGATCAGGGCTCAGGACGAAGTTTGAGGGTGGACGATCCTTTGGTGGGAGAAGGCAGAGGATGGAACAATGGTCGGTCCACGGGGTTACCACCTGCGCACCCTTTGCCAACCCCTGCTCTTGCCGTTCACAGCGGGGGAAGTGTAGTGAGTGGAAGTGTGTTGAGCGCAAGTGTATTAAATGGTTCCCAGGACTACGACATCTCACTGAATGTGTGGATGGCTGCTGAGAACAGAGAAGATGGTGAGGGTGAGGGTGAGGGAGCTGGCATTAGCCAAGCTTGCACAGATGTCCCTGGTCGCCCACTTTTGCCACTGGAGATTCCCAGAAGCGCAGAGCTTTCCGCTCAGAAACATTGATTGATGTATAGCATGTTTCCGTTAACCTACTTTTGTGATCCATTTGCTTCTCACCTGCTGTTGAAATTGAAATTGGACACGGCCATCTTTGGCAGGCTGTGGTCATGCCAAAGGATTCTCTCGACTTTCCAGCTTCGTGAACGCCATCGCCTTCAGTTGTTTTTCTTTAGCGTCTTAGTTGTTTGCATTCTTCCTTTGCTGCTCCCTTGCCCCTTTGTTTATGCTCTTGGTAGGCGGACTTGCAATGCATATCAGCAGCAAAACTCGAACTGGACACAGTAGTTTCACAACGCTGCCTTCATGCTTCGGTGCTGCTGTCTTAACCAGCCATCATCTTGCCATCATTCTCCTGGCAGTCTGCTGCTCCGACTGCTTACCCCAGGCGGGTATTGCTTGTTCTTCCACCTCTCCTGAGTTACAGGAAGTTATGAACATGTCTCAATTCTTGTTCACATTCTTTGGTAGATGCACCAGCAGTGCAGTTAGCTGGAGGTTGTTAGCCCTCTTCTAGTGTCCTTGGAAGGGCATCTATCGGTTCTCAAAGCCGAGTCTTCCTCGTTGTATTTGCAAGTCAACGAATACTCTCCTCCCATGTATAAGTGGACCTCTCCCTTCTCTCTGTATCTGAGTTCTGTAAATGGGATAAAGTTTCCTGGATCAATGGGCCTTTCAATTAATCTGTGTCTCCCTTTCAGCTTGTTGAGGTCAGCGCTCCGCTGGGAAATGTGAAAGCGGGTGCTGATGTGGTCTTTTCTAGAGCAGGCACTCGTACTATTTAACCATATGTGCATTCTTCTCTGCTGGCAACTATTCACAGAGAAGACAAAGTAGCCTGGCCCTCTCTCTCTCTCTCTGTGTATATATATATATACCTGTGTTAAAATCCGGGCCGCCGGGCGGCCCAGCCTTCGTCCGGCAGGGGTCCCGGGCGGCCCGGCCGGTTGGGTCCCCTGGTTTGGCACCGGGCGGGCCCAGCGCAATTTCGCGTGGGGGGGGGGGGAGGCCTTTTTCGGCCAGTGGCAGCCTCCCCGGCCCCCAGGAGCACTTCAAAACTTTACGTTTTGTTTTTCAGAGGACGGTAAGGCGGGGGGAAGGCCTTCTTCGTAAGTTCTTTTTTTTTTTTTGGGGGGGGGGGGAGCGGGGGATCGGACTACGATGCGATCAGCCGCCAACAAACTACCTCGTTTCGCCCCCCTGGTCGGCTACGACACCGCGTTCGAATTCGTACACGGTATTTTCCACTTCGCTGCCGGCACGAAGCCCGCCCGCTGTCGCTGCAGTCTCGAAGCCTGCCTGTCGTCGCCGCTGCTCGTCGTCTCGAAGCCCGCCCGCCTTTGTCGAGCTGCCGTCGTCGCTCCCCATCGAGCTGTGCCCCGTTGAGCCGCCCTCCCCGTCTTCGCCGGCCGTCAAGCTGCTGTCGCCATCATGGTGAATCGGTGTCCACCTCCTTCCTTCCTCTTCTTCTTCTTCTTCC